CTGAATCGGTTAATTCTTAGGTTGATAACGTTTCTTGGCAATAATTGGAATTATTTATAATCCATAATTCCATTTTTATGTAAAAATCGCAGAACAAAAGTTAGCTGCTAATGGTAGCCACCAGAGTGGCTGCTGCTTCCGGTCTTGGCTATCCGGCAGTATAATACACACACATGACCAAATAAGGACTATATGGGAGTTCCCCTCGATTCCATTGGCTCTGACGGTTAGAAAGAGATGTCACATGTCAAAATCCAGCAGGGGGGCCAGAGATAAGAAAAATCCACCCAAATGGCCCCAGAAGAGGTTTTTTTTGCTAAATCTTTCAAATATCACTTGTTTTGCATCAATCTTGATACAGGGTACTTATTATATGTTGTACTTTGGATTCCTATAGCTTTTAGTCTACTAACCCATCATCCAAGGTTAGTTTTCACTATAAGTACAACATATTTTTTGGACGGACACTATAATTTACAGTTTTTTACCATGTTCAATCTGAATTTTCTTTAAAATAAAAAACATCTATATTGAATCTGACTTTTCTACATCCAACTGACAGGTGCATCATTACTTTGAGAAAAAAGATTATTCACTTAACCCTTTTAGAAGGGAAGATATGGTCATTTGTTCTGGGAATGTCATTTTCGAGTCTGAAACCTGAAAAACAGGCTCGGGGTTTAACAAGTTAAGTGCTTTGACAAAAAATCCAAAATCCATCTGTGGAAGCCGTACTGTAAAAAGCACGACCAATCATTTTAACCGGCCCGGCTAAAATAACTAGATAGCCTACCTGCCTGTCAGCCTTGTCATCTGTGCACAAATTTATCTCGTGCCCTCATTGTCGCGTTCGTGTCAGTCTATGGTTCGTGTGTGTTGGAGGAGGGGCTCTATTTTCAAATTCTAGCGCACTCGAGCTGGTTTCTCCAAAATTACCTACCCCATCTTTGATATACAGATTAACAAATATAATTGAAGCCAGTGTACTTTGATAGGCCAGCCCACGACTGAGAAATTGTTAACAATGTAAACTATTTACATTATAAGTTAGAAAGTAATTAATAACAGTTTGGAATAGCAGTCCATGAATTGGCCATGTTTTAAAAAAAAATGGAGTTCTTTCATAGACTGCGTTATGTGTTAATTGTTGCTAGCTTTTATTTAAAAACGTCCACACCATGTGTTCCCCCCTGCAGTTTGCGGCGGAATAGATCAGTCCGGGAGTGACGTCACCATCGGGGCAGCCAGAGGAGCTTGTTGTTTGTTGTTTTGCTCGAAAGTGTTGCGAGCTAAGCTCTGCCCGTCTCTACGTTGAATTCAAAACCTGCAATCCAGTCGACAGCTTGAAAGAAAGATATTTAGAAAGATATTGTATCGTGGTTATTATCATTTTCATCTGCATCGAGCGAAAAAGAGCCCGGAAACATGAAATGGATGTTCAAAGAGGATCACTCCTTGGGTAAGGGAGGAGGAGGCTGCTGTTTTTAAAGATAACAAATATCTGTTATATTTCAGTTACACTTTCTGAAGAGGAATCCTATATTTGGGTGATAAAGGAAGTAGTTAGGCTTTATTGATTAGTACATATTTTCAAATACTTCGGGCAGCACAAACTGGCCTGTCCTTTAGGCTTTTGTTTATACAGGAGGCTCTGGTTTGCAAGCTAGCTCTACCGACACATAACAGCAGCTAATATGATTGACAGCTGATGTAAACGGCATTTATATCGTCTTTACTTTAAATACGATATGTTGGGTCCCTGTATATGAACAAATCATCCTGTCTTTGTTCTTATTTCAACTCTGATGACGACCTGGTTTCAGGTTGGCGATACATGTTGACACGAAGGAGATCTGCTAAAACCTCCGTTATGTATTGAGTTTCAGTAAGCAGTTGGATAATACAAACTGGGATGTGTGGTGTAATATACTAGCTTATCATTTTATTTCCTCTACTTTTCACTTGGTATTACATTAGGCCCGCCCGGCGTCTGCAGGACAGAACAAAAGTTGTTTTGGTAGGCCTGAGGGCTGGTTTAGCCCATATTAAAATAATGTCAACTAGCACGAATTATAACAACACGTATGAGACAGGGAGAGCAGCAACCCTTTTCATTTAGGAATATGACACCAAAACCTAACGGGCATTTGAAGCACTCGACATTCACAGTCTTAATCGACTTCCTGTTGACAGGCCAGCTGATTGTAACTACTAGTGTTTATCAGGCTTTACAAATAGTGTCCATGTTATTTAGAATGAGTTTTATGTGTGGTTATTAGAAGTGTAGCCGCTTCAAATGTTCAAAGTATAAAACTAATGAGAATACTGCAGTTGGCAACCACAGTGTTATTGTTGGTGTCAGTGCCTTCATTACCCATAACCCCCTATGATTACTGGGAAAATTTGTTTGTTTGTATCCAGTTTCAAATACACTATTTATATAAAGCATTTGTTTTCACTCTTGAATAATCAGTTGATATTTTTCCTATTTATTGATTAGCAGTAAAGAAACAACACAAAGTGAATTAAGCAAATAGTTTTTCACAAATGTGGCATTAGTCTGGCTATATATCTTTAAAACATAATACAAGAAAATAAATCATAAAAAGCAAGAACTACACAAATGAAGACATGTAAATACAATAGTAAAATGTAAAAACATATATACATTTTCAGTTTTTGTTTATCTGTTTTTCTATTTTTCTTTAATTTTTTTGTTGTTTTTTATTCTCTGTCAAAGTGTCTTTGTGTTTCTAGAAAAGCGCTATACAAGACTTGTGTATTATTATTATTGTTATTATTATTATTAATTATAATAATGCTTCAAAGTTTTTCTCAAAGAAGGCTTCTTTAAATGCCATTAAAGGAAATTGTATTCGAGCAACAATCCAAAAATAAAACCATCCAGTATATCTTCATTTACTTATTTAGTCAATGAAAAAAAAAGCCAAAAAATGAGTTTTGTCCTTTTTTGTAGTATTTAATGGCGCAAAGAGCTTAAGTGGTGATGTTTTATTGATGATGCACATTCACATTTTAAGTGACTGGATTTATGAATGTTGTCTCCTAATCCACAGCAGCTGCTTGTGAACCTTTCACATTAGCGGTTAAGTATTGATCTTTGTCCATCACTGTCTTGCCTCTTGTCTCTCTACAGGAGTTTGTTGTCATGTCAAACATTCCTATCATTAACTCAAATGTTCCTTTTTGTCCACCAGAACATCGATCTATAGAGTCAGCCAAAATCCGTAACAAGTACCCTGACCGGGTCCCGGTGAGTGAGACTTCAGAGATGTTGCAGCTGATTTAGCCTGCTTAGTGATCCATTAATGGTCTATAATCAATGCTTCTGTTTGCTGTGTCAGGTGATTGTGGAGAAAGTGTCTGGATCACAGATAGTGGACATCGACAAGAGGAAGTACCTGGTCCCCTCTGATATCACAGTGGCTCAGTTCATGTGGATCATCAGGAAACGCATCCAGCTGCCCTCAGAGAAGGCCATCTTCCTGTTTGTGGACAAGACAGTGCCGCAGTCCAGGTGAGGGCCAAGACACCGGGGAGGGGAGGGGAGGGGGTTTAATCAATTTCAAAGATTCCCAGTTCCTAGGCCGAGTAGCCTGAAAATGCCGCAGAGTCTGATTCAGATTTTAAAAAAACTTTTGCAGTTTTGACGGTCAGTTTGTGCCCTCTAATGTCCACAACAAGAATTAAAAGACTTAAATTAGACTGTGTCACTCCATTAGTTCTAACCTGTTCATATGTTTGTATAGATAGATAGAAATCCTTCCTAAACACAAAGTTGTGAACCTGCAAACAGACAGCGGGGAGGTAGACATGAAATTAATTGAAATCAATTTTTGTTAATTGATAAATAATTGTATTCGTTTTATTTGGCAAAAATGTACTTCTCCCAAAGGAAGTTCAAACTGAATATGTATAGGTTTTTGACATGTAGTTTTTTGTGCTTGATTTGTCAAAAATATGTTATAGTTTGCTATAATTTCTGAGAAAAGGGTCAATCAGTTGTCAATACATTTGAGAGCTTTAACCAGAAAATATTCAGAATTTTTGACTGAAAAAACACTGAAATAAGTAATCGATTTGCCAAAGAAAGTTGCATTTGTTTTCTTTTGATATATGAATCGACTTGTATAAAGCTCTTTAAGGTGCCACTTTCAAAGCTGGGCTGAGGTCATTTGTTCTGTAATCTTCTGGTGTCACAAAAATGCCTTTTTATCTAAAACGATTTGAGATAAAACTAGTCAAATCACGTGTACAGTTTTTATCAAAAGGATCCCTGTCAGACTGGATAAATTGACTCTGTCCTTTTTTAATTTCCCCTGTGGCTTGGTATCTCAATAATTTCCTTCTCATGGTTGAGTGAAAATGTGTCAGGGCTTCTTTTTATATTCAAGAAAAGAACATTTGTTGAAAATAAATTAGTCGAGGCGCTGGCTGGAGTAAGAATATGAAGGGCAGGTTGAGGGATTTTTTGTTGTACCTTTTTATGAATACACACCTGTAAAATATTAACTGGAGAACAACTTGGGAAAAACTTTATTTTCTGCAGAACACCACAAGTTAATGTTTGATTTGGACCGGACATTAAGGCTGATTTAACACCGAAACAGTCCTAACAACATCCAGAATGAGCTTTAGTTAGACCCATCTACACATTTGTTTCTCGCTGCCATCCTGAAGGTCCGGTAGAGTAATGACTGTGTGGGAATAATCCTGAATCAAGTTATAGTTTTACACTAAACTATCTAAATGCGTGTCAGTCTTTCCAGATAGATGCAAATAAGACCAAATATGTCAATATTAGGATTTTTTAAATATTATAAGGAGTCCTGGCTTTGAATATTTCATTGCTCACTTAAAATGTATGTATTCCAGTAGCTTCTAGGAAGAGCTGGAATGAGATGAGTCCTTGAATGCACCTGAATTTTGTTGTCTATTTGTACAATGACAGTAAAGTATCCTATCTTATCTTAGATGGTATGAAATATACAACCCACTCGCTGTTAGTTTGGAAAGAGGGTATCTATTAGTATTATTGAAAAATTTAGGGTATGGGTTTCTTGGAACAACATTTTATTTTCGTTGGTTGCAATGAGCGGTTCATTTGAGTAAGTTCTCGTTCAAGATAGACTTTGTTTTCCCTGAATAAAGCTTAATGGTAATTTAGCAAAAATAAACTGATTCAGCTACTGTTAATTTGGTTTGTAAGCTGTAAGACAATTGGTTCCCACTGAAGACATCATTTATAAACGGTCCTCTCCTTGGTTTAGCATCACAATGGGGCAGCTGTACGAGAAAGAGAAGGACGAGGACGGCTTTTTATACGTGGCTTACAGTGGGGAGAACACCTTTGGCTTTTAAAAAACAAGAAAACCACGATCTGGACCGGCCTCACCTGCTCGACACCCCCCACCCCCACATCTAATCACAGCCTTCTCGGCCCCTGGAGGAACGGCGGGGAAACCCCATTGAGATTGAGAGACATGAACGTATCAGAAAGACGGACGACTGCTTTACCTGACGGGATAAACATATATGAGCGCACTGGTGTGTTTGTTCTGGCCCATGTTGCACCAGTTCTTTAAAGAGTCATAGATTCAGTTGTGTATAGTGTGTTACATTTTAATTATTTGTGTTATCTTGTTGTGATTTGAGTGTTTCTAGGAGGAACTTTGATTTTTTTTCACATTTTAAATAATACGCGTGAATGAATTTTGCTTTAGTTATGCTTCCTCTTTAAAAGGCAATATTTAAAAATATATTTTAATTTAAATATTTGAAATTAAATTAGGATGACCTAAACAATAAAATATTAAAATGGAACCTGGTTGATGTTTTTATTGTTTTATTTGAGCACTTTAATAATGTACATGACATTAAGTAAGTGCTGAGATTGAGTGTATAAGACAGCAGCTCATTTGTCTTGAAGCTTAATAATATATCATTATGTCTGTATACTTTTGTCGACAAATAGATATATATATATATATATATATATATATATATATATATATATATATTGTAAATACTAAATATATACAAAATGTAAAGTTTACAAACAAAACAGTTTTCAAACCATTTATTTTGTATTCCTTCAATTTTCTCTTATTCTGCAGACACCAGTGAGAAAAGTGCACCAAGATCCACCAAGCTAATATAAATGCATTCTAACTTCACTTAATGCTCCTTTATGAAGGTGATCGTTTTCCCTTAGTGTTGAATAATTTTGGAGGATGTTGTTGGTTCTGTTGTTTGTTCTACAGATGGGGGTTTCTGTTATTTTGTCCACCCCATTGATTTAATTGTTGTTCCAGCATTCAAGCAAAAGTACAAAGCTGTAGAAGTTACATGACTAATGGAAAAGCACAGAAGAAGCTGTGGTGAAATCTATTTTGGGACTTTTCTCTAATCTCTTATTTGTTGATTGGAGTTTGTGGTCCTGTTGAAGTGCTATAATACTGCCAGGTGTTTCTATTATTTTCTCTACCACATTTCATTTTGTCTAAATAACAGGAATAGCACATCCCTCCCAGGTACCAGATTGCCAAAATCAGATTAATTCCAGTGGTTTAATATTTGCATGTTGAATATCACATAAACAGGGGTCCATGTACTTTTGGTCATAAATCTCCACTAGGTGATGCTAATGAGTCGCAAGCATGTGTCTAATGACGAGAGATACATTTGGTTTCTTACTGAAATCACAAAAATCTGAAATACTCTAGTTATTACATGTCATTCTTACATCCTTCCTGCTGTAACAATGCATCTGAATGATACAAAGCATGTTGTTGTGGAGACCTTATAAGGGGGTACTAAAAAATATGTATAAAACTACGCAAATATGTCAAGCTTCATATGACATATTTGAAGCTTGGCTCAATCTGCTTTGAGCCATTTCATCTAACAGGTTTGAAAATGAAAAAGTTTACAATATACTCAACACACCATTATAGTTATGTTGTCATCCAAGTTCCCTCCAATGCCAGAGCCTGGATGAAAAACTCACTGTGAGACACTTGGTGGTTGAAAGTACAATTACTTAAATATTGAATGTAAAATCAGGTATCAGTTTCATTTTTCTGCTATTTCATATTTTCTACTTCTTCTTAGAGAAAGAATATTGTAATGTACTTTACTACGTTTATTTGATAACTTCTGTTTCTTTTTCTAAGATATATTAATGATATGATCAGCAAATTAAATTAAGATGTAATATTAAAGACACTTTATTCACCGTTCAAGAGGGAATTCATAAGATACCCAAAAGTACAGTTTTTTGTATCACTTTAATCAGCTGCAACATTACATTGATGAACACATTAATGCATCAATGATTATAGTCAAATAATAAAATATGACATACATGTATATATATTATGTAACTGTAATATTATTCTATAATTGACAATTCTACATAATGAGACCTTTTACATTTGTAACTACATGTTTTGATGGTAATACTTTTCTGAGAACTTGTTACACCCCTGGATACACACATTATACTTTTACTCTGAGGCGGAAGATGTCTATACAGTATACTGTTTTTTTCTTTTATACAGTATTCGCTCATACTGTATTGGAAGACTTCTTTTACCACTATTAAATCTTATCTAATTATTGTGGCACATTTTATTATTGATATCTCTCGTCACCTTTATTACATCGCTCTATGAACAGTGTATACATCCTTGTAGTGGTGGAAAGCACTTAAGTATATTTACTCATTTATTGTACTTAAGTAATTACATATTCATACTTTACTTGAGTGTTACCATTTATTGCAGCTCAATACTTCTAATCTGATACATTTAGGAGGCAAAGAATGTACTTTTTATTCTACTACATTTATGAAATGCTCACAGTTATAGTTACTAGCATAAAAACACATATATGCTGATATGGTGTAATGCAGTACTGTACTATTAATCTAAACAGTATTTCACGTATCTAAATTGCTCCACATTGACAAGCTAAAATGCTCTTACATGTATCAAAACAGGATAACCTAATAACCACAATAATATAATACTGTGAAAAGATCTATTCTGCAACAAGTAATTTTACTTTTGATACTTGAAGTACTCTTACCTGATAAAACTGCTGTAGTTTATATTATTGTGAAATTGGACATAATGCAGATTGAGTATGTTAACGTTTTGTGTTAGTATGTTTTGATGTTAATACTTTTGTACTTTCACTTAAAGGTCCCATGTCATGCGTTTCCGGTTATTACCCATCCCCTTGTGTGTTATGAAGGTTTTTATGCATGTAAACGGTCTGCAGAGTCAAAAACCCTCAAAGTACATCCTGTAGCGAGTAAAACTCTAACACAGAAAATAACTGTCTATCCTGCCCCAGAACGCCTCGTTGGAGATTTCTCATTTTCCATTATTTGCTTCCTGGGTTCTGTGATGTGTGAACACCCAAATCAACAACTAATGACCGGATTGGCCCAAATGGACCAATCCGCGGTGCACTTCACACACACACACACATAATGTTCGTATTTAGTCTCCTGATTTTAAATGGGAATTAAATCATTTGAGTGTTCCCAAAGCACCAGTGTTCTGCAGTTTGTCTGCCAAGGCACACG